ATCATGAAACTCTCAATGGTACATATAAAACAACTATAGTGAAAGACATATAAGATCAAAACCAATTCAACAGTCACAAACTCAATTAGAACAATTCCTAATTACATAAAATAGCAATATGAGTCACTGTTGCAAGATCCTTTTACTTCAAGGCCACAATTGGTGAAGCAGAAGGAACCATCAAAACTTTGCAGCCATGACATTAGTGAAATTACACTAGTGAAATTTAACTGTATTGCTCCTTGGCAGATATAAAAGTAGTTTTCAGGATTGATCATAAATTAGATTAAGGTGGACAAGCTGATATTGAACTGTAGTGTGAGGAAAGGCCACCAGTTAGCACAAAGACAGATAACCAGTTGAAACCATTCTTCTAATTCAGGCAAAGTTTCTCCATTCAACACAATATTTGCTTATCTATGAACGGAACAAAAAATAATTTAATTAATGCAAATGAAGTTAGGATGCCTCCTATATTCCCACAATTTTGGGAAGGAATGAAGACATGCCTTGTAGCCTAAATATTAAAATAGTTACATTTTATTTTAATATATTTCTTATCAATTTATAGGTTTTTTTTTTACATTTATTGTAAATTAACTGACTTCGAAACATTTGAGGAAGGACAGAATATACTGTATGTATTATTTTCCATATATATATATATATATATATATATATATATATATATATATATATATATATATATATATATATATATATATATATGTGTGTGTGTGTGTGTGTGTGTGTGAAAGATTTATTCTTAATGAAAATATTTTTAAATTAACTGGGAGAAATATAATGGTGCAAAGGGTCTTCTTAAGCAGCAGAAATTCTGAAACGTATTTCAGTGAATGGTTTTACCATGTCAAGAAACCTGCATGGATGTCTCCATGTTAGTGCCAAAAGTCAAAGATGAATTCCGTACTAGATTTGCATGCATTTGTTCTGTGTAAATTCACTTAGATTGCTTAAATGATGAAAGATTCAAAGCAAACAACCTTTGTAATGTGACAAATGAAATTTTATCACTGAATTTAGATTGTTGCCCAATGGGGAAAAGTGGGGAAAGGTATGCTGTCCAAATGCAGACTAGAACACATCTGTAATAAAGTTCTATAATTAAGTTGATCCCTGAGGTGAAACTGCTGCTATGAAAGAAACAAAATGGCTAAATTATCTTTTCTTTTGAAATGGATACATTCACACTGTCTCACTACCACATCAAATTAGACAAAGCATGACGAGCTCATGGGATCGTGATGGAGCTTTTCAGAAGAAACTGTGTGCCCTCAAAAGATGTTATGTAGGAAGACAGTCCTCAGGTATGCCCCACTTTTATTTTTTAGATATGATTGACGTCATCCTATTGAAGAAACCATAATCTTGTACATAGCATGCAAATGATACCTTTACACTGTGGCTCAGGAAACCATGATCCATCGACACATTTTGTTTGATGCAGATTGGAACCACAGCGGTAGGTTGCAAACTGGTTGGTCTTAAACAAATTTCCTGGTGAAAAGTCTGCAAGCTGTAGACGTGCACAACTTCCTGGATTAACTAACAATTCAAATATTGTTACATAAGTATTTATATAATAATCAATTATTCTTCTGTTTATTTATATAATCCATTCTCCTTCTTCTGCACTATCTGACTTCATATTCCAAGTACATCTATCAAAAATATATTGATCAATTTCTGGTTTATTCATCTGTTATCTACTCTGATTGACAGATTTTAGACATATCTTTCTACTCTCCTATGTAGGATTTTAGATTTGATGTGCTCCTCAAATTAAACTTCAGACAGAGAGTTGTCTTTAATGAGGTGGGCAGTATTCAGATTGGATTGATAAACAAACAAACAAACAAACAAACAAACAAACAAACAAACAAACCTGGATAATCTTATCTCTTTCTTTTCTGTTCCCACTCTGAATTTCAAGGCTGCCAGTTATACATCTTCCCTATTGTGAGGAACATAGAAATCCTAATCTATGGTAGACTGTCTTGAAAACCATTCAATAAAAAAATGAAAACTATAGGTTGACCCCTCTTCTCTGTGACAGCCCCTCAAATATTGGAACACTGCTATCATGTCACTCCTAGTTCTTTTCTTTTTTAGACTAGACATACTCAGTTCCTGCATCTGTTCATTATATGTTTTAGCCTCCAGCCCCAAATCATATTTGCTGCTCTTCTCTGCACCCTTTTTAGAGTCTCAACATCTTTTTTTATCATGGTGACAAAAATGATGAAGTATTCCAAATGTGGTCTTACCAAAGCACTTTAAAGCGGTAATGATAGTGATAGTGATAGTGATAGTGATAGTGATAATGATAATGATAATAATAATAATAATAATAATAATAATAATAATAATAATAATAATAATAATAATAAAGTTGTAAGGGACCTTGGAGGTCATCTAGTCCAACCCCCTGCTAAGGCAGGAAACCCTATACCATTTCAGACAAATGGCTGTCCAGTCTCTTCTTAAAAATTTGCAGTGTTGGAGCATTCACTGCTTCTGGAGGCAGGTTGTTCCACTGGTTAATTGTTCTAACTGTCAGGAAGTTTCTCCTTAGTTCTAGGTTGCTTCTCTCCCTGATTAGTTTCCACCCATTGCTTCTTGTCCTGCCTTCAGGCGCTTTGGAGAATAGCTTGACTCCCTCTTCTTTGTGACAGCCCCTGAGATATTGGAACACTGCTATCATGTCCCCCCTCGTCCTTCTCTTCATTAAACTAGACATACCCAATTCCAGCAGCTGTTCCTTATATGTTTTAGCCTCCAGTCCTCTAATCATCTTTGTTGCTCTTCTCTGTACTCTTTCTAGAGTCTCAACATCTTTTTTACATCACGGTGACCAAAACTGGATGCAGTATTCCAAGTGTGGCCTTACCAAGGCATTGTAAAGTGGTATTAATACTTCACGTGATCTTGATTCTATCCCTCTGTTAATGCAGCCTAACACTGTGTTGGCTTTTTTGGCAGCTGCAGCACACTGCTGGCTCATATTTAAGTGATTGTCCACTAGGATTCCAAAATCCCTTTCACAGTTGCTACTATTGAGCAAGGTACCACCTATACTATACCTGTACATTTGGTTTTTCTTGCCTAAATGTAGAACCTTACTTTTTTCACCATTGAATTTCATTTTGTTAGATAGCGCCCAGTGTTCAAGTCTGTCCAGATCCTCCTGTATCTTATGCCTATCTTCTGGAGTGTTGGCTATTCCTGCCA